GGCCACTGCACTCCAGTCTGGGTGATAGAGTGAGACTCCAACTCAAAAAAAAAAAAAAACATTTTTGCAAAAATAGTCAGGCATGGTGACAAGTGCCTCTAGTCCTAGCTACTTGAGATAGAAGCATTGCCTGAGCCCAGGAACTTGAGACTGTGGTGAGCCATGATCCTACCTCTGCACTCCAATCTGATCAAGAAAGTGAGACTCTGACTCAAAAAAAAATAAAATAAAAAACATTTTTGGCTAGGCACAGTGGTTTATGCCTGTAATCCCAGTGCTTTGGAAGGCTGTGGCAGGAGGATGGTTTGAGGCCAGGATTATGAGGTCACAATAAGCTGTGATCGAGCCACTGAACTCCAGCGAGACTCTGTCTTCTAAAAAATTAGAAATTAAAAGAATTAAATATAACAACATTTTTTGGCTGGGTACAGTCCTCATACCTGTAATTTCAGCACTTTGGGAGGCTGAGGCCAGAGGACTGCTTGAGTCCAGGAGTTGAAGAGCAGCCTGGGCAACATAGCAAGAATTCATCTTAAGGGGGGGAAAAAAATCTAGCCTGGGCAACAGAGTGAGACCCTGACTTAAAAAAAATATTTTTTCAAAAGTTTTTCTCTACCCAAATGTAACATGTAACTTTTTATTTCTGTTCTTTTTCTTCTCTCTTTATAAATCTATCTTTCCCCCCACATATTGGAATAATATTGTATAGTTGTTTTGTTTTTTGGAGTCAGAGTCTCATCCTGTCGCCCAGGCTGGAGTGCATTGGCACGATCACGACTACCACAGCCTCTACCTGCTAGGCTCTGGTGATCCTTCTGCCTCAGCCTTCCAAGTAGCTGGAACTACAAGCAAGTGCCACCATACCTGGCTAATTTTTTTATTATTGTAGAGACAACATCTTGCCTGTTGCCCATGCTGGTCTCAAACTCCTGGGCTCAGGCAATCCTTTCGCCTCAGTCTCCCATAGTGCTGTCGAAAAAAATTTTTTTTTTTAGTTGGGATCTTACTCCGTCACCCAGACTGGAGGGCAGTGGCACACTTGTGGCCACCCCAGTGTCGATCTGCTGGGCTCTAGCGATCCTTCTGCCTCAGCCTTCCAAGTAGCTGGATCTACAGGCGCATGCTACCACGCCTGGCTCATTTTTGATTTATTATAGAGATGAGGTCTCACCAAATTGCCTGGGCTGGTTTCAAACCCGTGAGCTCAGACAGTCCACTTGCCTTGGTCTCCCAAAGTGCTGGAATTACAGACTAAGCCACTGAGCCTGGCCCTAAGTTTGTTTTTACATAGTCTTTTTATTTTTTTGAGTTGGAGTCTCACTCTGTCACCCAGACTGGAGTGCAGTGGCCGTTCCCAGCCACCGCAGCCTCGACCTGCTGGGCTCCGGTGATCCTTCCACCTCAGCCTTCCAAGTAGCTGGAACTACAGGCGGGCGCTACCACACCCGGCTAATTTTTTGATTTATTGCAGAGATGAGGTCTCACCAAGTTGCCCAGGCGTGTCTCGAACCCTCAGGCTCAGGCAATCCACTCACCTCAGCCTCCCAAGGTGCGGGATTACAGGATGAGCCACCGAGCCTGCCTTACAGTCTTTTTAATGACTGTATAACATTTCATTGCATAGAAATACCACAGTTATAGCCATTTCTCTATTTTTGTCACTTTCTAAGTCACTGGTTGTATACTTGTCTCACTGATCTAGTTTTTGGGATAGTGCTTTTCAAACATGAATTTACATCTGAATCACCTGCGAGTACTGGGGTTTTTTTTTTTTGAGTTGGAATCTCACTCTGTCCACCCAGGCTGGAGGGCAGTGGCACACTCACAGCCACCCCAGCGTCGACCTGCTGGACTTCAACTATCCTTCCACCTCAGCCTTCCAAGTAGCTGAAACCACAGGTGTTCACTACCACGCCCGGCTAATTTTTGATTTATGGTAGAAAGGAGGTCTCGCCAAGTTGCCCAGGCTAGTCTCAAACGCATGGACTCAGGCAATCCACTTGCCTCAGCCTCCCAAAGTTTTGGGATTACAGGCTGAGCCACCAAGCCCAGCCTTTGAGTACTGTTTTTTTTTTGTTTTTTGTTTTTGAGTTGGAGTCTCACTCGGTTGCACAAATTTTGATTCTGTAGGGTTAAGATACAGGACCAGAGAGTCTTTTTTTTTTTTTTTTTTGAGTTGGAGTCTCACTATGTTGCCCAGACTGGAGTGCAGTGACATACTCCTGGCTACCGCAGCCTCGACCTGCTGGGTTCCGGTGATCCTTCTGCCTCAGCCTTCCAAGTAGCTGGAACTACAGGCGCGCACTACCACACGTGGCTAATTTTTTAATTTATTTTAGAGATGAGGTCTTGCCAAGTTGCCCAGGCAGGTCTCGAACCCGCGGGCTCAGGCAATCCATTCACCTCAGCCTCCCAAAACGTGGGATTACAGGCTGAGCTACCGATCCCAGCTACATTTTGTTTCTTAAACTCGTTGCTTTGCCTTAATAGAGAGGAATTTTTTTTTTTTGAGTCAGAGTCTCACTGTTTTACCCTGGTTATGGGCAGTAGCATGCTCACGGCCACTGCAGCCTCAACCTGCAGGGCTCAGGCAATCCTTCCACCCCAGTTTTCCAAGTAGCTGGAACTACAGGTGCACACCACCATACTTGGCTAGTTTTTTGACTTACTGTAGAGACAAATTCTCACCAAGTTACCAAGGCTGATCTCGAACTCCTGAGCTCAGGCTATCCTGTCTCCTCAGCCTCTCAAAGTGTTGGGATTACAGGCGTGAGCCACTGCACCCGGCCAGTGGAGAGGATTTAAATCATTTGTACTTATTCTTTCTTCTGCCATCTGTATTTTTTATCTTAACTTTTTCTTTCTTGGCCTTGTTTTATATAGTATGGTACATATATTTTCATTTATAATCTTAAAATAATTACCTGTATATTTACAGGTTTCACATGTCTGTGTTTTATACTTACCAAACTTTATTTTTTTTGAATTGGAGTCACTCTGTCACCCAGGCTGGAGGGCAGTGGAATGCTCCCAGCCACCACAGCCTCACCTGCTGGGCTCAGGCGATCCTTTTGCCTCAGTCTTCTAAGTAGCTGGAACTACAGGCATGTGCCACCATGCCCAGCTAATTTTTTTATTATTGTAGAGAGAAAGTCTTGCCAAGTTGCCCAGGCTGATCTCTAGCCCGCAGGTTTAGGCAATTCTCTCACTTTGGCCTCCCCAAATTGAGATTATAGGCGTGAGTCACTGTACCTGGCCACCAAACTTTATTATTGAGATATTCATAACCTTTCCTTTAGTGTTCTGATTTCCTCCCTCCCTCCCTCCTTCCTAGTCTCACTCGGTCATTCAGGCTTGAGTATAATGGCAAGCTCATGGCCACTGTAGCCAGCCTCTACCTGCTGGGTTCAGGTGATTCTTCCCCCTCAGCCTTCCAAGTAGCTGTAACTGCACCTGGCCATATGTTTCATCAATAAGTTTTTTTACTGCTTCAACACTTTAAGTCTTCATTACAGTTCTGTTTCTGTTACAATTCTTTTTTCTCCAATCTGTTTTTTGTCTTTCTTTTTTTCAGTGGGAGTCTCACTCTGTGGCCCAGGCTGGAGTGTAGTGGCACACTCATGCCCACTGTGGCCTCGACCTGCCAGGCTCAGGCATTCCTTCTACCTCAGCCTTCCAAGTAGTTGGAACTACAGGCGTGAGCCACCATGCCTGGCTAATTTTCTTCTTTTTTAATTTATTATAGAGACAAGGTCTTGCCAGTTTGCCCAGTCTGGTCTCGAACTCCTCCTGGACTCAGGCAATCCTTTCGCCTCAGCCTCCCAAAGTGCTGGGATTACAGGCTTGAGCCACTACGCCTGGCCTCAATTTGTTTGCTTAAATTGCTGATGACACAGAAGTCGATATCTCTTTCTTTTTAAGATACTTGATATTACCCACTACAGTCTTGAACTCCTTAGCTCAAGCAATCCTCCCCTCAGCCTTCTGAGTAGCTGGGATTAAAGGTTGGAGCCACTATGCCCTGCTGGTTTTTTGAAAACCAATCTTAGCCAGGTGCAGTAGATCACACCTGTAATCCCAGCGCTTTAAGAGGTGAGAGGATTGCCTGAGCCCACAGGTTAGAGACAAGCCTGGGCAACATGGCGAGACCTCATCTTTACAATAAATCAAAAAATTAGCTGGGTGTGGTGGCACATGCTTGTAGTTCCAGCTACTTGGGAGGCTGAGGCGGAAGGATCGCCTGAACCTGGCAGGTCGAGGCTTTGGTGGCCGTGAGCGTGTCACTGCACTCTAGCTTGGGTGAGGGAATGGACTCCAACCCAAGAAAAAAAAGAAAGCCAATCTTAATCATTTTGAAAACCTACTCATTACTTTTGTAGATTTTCTGTTTCAATCATTGTACTAGGTAAGACCTTATAATCTTTTATTTTTTATTTTATTTTTAGTTGGAGTTTGACTCTGTCACCCAGGCTGGAGTGCAGTAGCATGCTCACAGCCACCGCAGCCTCAACCTGCTGGGTTCAGGCGATCCTTCTGCCTCAGCCTTCCAAGTACCTGGAACTACAGGCACGCGCCACCATGCCAAGCTAATTTTTGATTTCTTGTAGAAATGAAGTCTCGCCAAGTTGCCCAGGCAGGTCTTGAACCCGTGGGCTCAGGCAGTCCTCTAACCTTGGCCTCCCAAAGTGCTGGGATTATACGCGTGAGCCACTGCGCCCGGCCAAGACCTTATAATCTTAAGACCTTATATTTTCTTCCTTTATGCTTTTAAAAATTTAAGTTGTTGATGTTCTTACTGATATTCTTAGCATTTTATTTTTTGAGTTGGAGTCTCTGTCACCCAGCTAAGTGCAGTGGCACGCTCATGGCCACTGCAGGCTCGATCTGTTGGGCTTAGGTGGTCCTTCCACCTTAGCCTTCCAAGTAACTGGGGCTACAGGTGTGTACCACCATGCCCAGCTAATTTTTTTTTGATTTACTGTAGAGATAAGATCTCACCAAGTAACCCGGTCTGTTCTGAACTCATGGACTCGGGCAATCCTTTCACATTGGCTTCCCAAAGTGCTGGGATTGTAAATGTGAGCCACTGTGCTCAGCCTTTTTCTTAGCATTTTATATTTTGCTATAGCAATCTCTTCAGGAAAAATCTCATGCTTCACACTGTGTTGAAACACCTTTCCTTTTTCTCCACAGCAAATCATCCTGGGGCTTGCCCATAGATGCTGTTCAGTGGGACATCTGCAATCTGCCATTGAGGACTGGCTCTGTGGATATTATCGTAACAGATTTGCCCTTTGGTAAAAGGTGGGAATTGGATTTTTAAAAAATGAGTTTACTTCCACCTGTTATACTAGTATCCACTTGTCTTTTTTTTTTCTTTGAGTTGGAGTCATACTCTGTTGCCCAGGCTGGATTGCAGTGGCATGTTCACAGCCACCACAGTCTTGACTTGCTGGGTTCAGGTGATCCTTCTCCCTCAGCCTTCCAAGTAGCTAGAATTATAGGCATGCGCTACCACACCAGGCTAATTTTTTGATTTATTGTAGAGATGAGGTCTTACCAAGTTGCCCGGGCTGGTGGTAAACCCTCGGGCTCAGGCAATCCACTTGCCTCGGCCTTCCAAAGTGCTGGGATTACAGGCTGAGCCACCGAGCCTGGCCATTATATTTCTACTGAGAAATCAAAATGTACTGACTACATTTTGATTCTGGACATTTAAAATTACTTGTTATTCAGTTTCTAGCCCATTCTTGAATTACATAATGGCATTTTATACACAAAGGTTAAGGAAGACTTGATTCTGATTCTGTTTCTTATTATAAATGATTTCTAATCACTTGTTTGGTTCATATAGTTTGGTTGTTTTTTTTTTTTTTTGAGACTCACTGTCATCCAGGCTGGAATACAGTGGTACACTCAAGGCCACCACAACCTCGACCTGCTGAGCTCAAGCAATCCTTCCACCTCAGCCTGTATCTACAGGCGCACACCACCCTTCCTATTTTTTGATTTAATTTAGAGACGAGGGTTTGCCAAGTTGCCCGAGCTGGTGTCGAACCCGACTCCCGCAATCCTCTCTCCTCTGCCTCCCAAAGCACTCAGATTACATATGTGAGCCACCTCACCTGGCGTTTGGCTGCTTATTATAGTCATTAAGAGGACAGGTTATGTAACTAACATAGTTGTCCAAAAATTTTTGATTCAGAACTCTAAACTATTAACTCAAGATAGCTTATTTCATTGACATGTAATGGCAAAGTTCATTTCTAAAAATACACTTATTTTTCATGCCTCAGGATGCATGAAACTATCCTCTTTTCAGATAGTCCTAGATATTTATCTTTTGTAATAATCTTTGACTCATTAGACCTTCTTTTATAGGATGGGCTCCAAGAAGAGAAACTGGAACCTTTATCCAGCGTGCCTACGTGAGATGAGCCGTGTCTGTACACCTACAACAGGCCGAGCTGTGCTACTTACTCAGGACACAAAATGCTTTACCAAGGTGCTGCACATTAGCTTAAAATCTCAGCCTTTAACAGCTTTTGAGTTAAAAAAAATTTTTTTTGAATCAGTCTCACTCTATTGCTCACGCTGGAGTACAGATGCATGCTCATGGCCACTGCAGCCTCAACTTGCTGGGCTCAGGTGATCCTTCCACCTGTCCTCCAAGTAACTGGCATGTACTACCATGCCCTGCTAATTTTTTTTTTTTTGAGTCACAATCTCACTCTGTCATCTATGGTGATCTAGTGACATGCTCAAAGCTATTGCAGCCTCAACTTGCTGGGCTCAGGCAATCCTGCCCCAGCCTTCCTAGGAGCTGGAACTACAGGCATATGCCACCATACCCTGCTATTTTGGTTTTTTATGACATTTTAGAGGTGAGGTCTCGCACCCCTGAGCTGAGGCAATCCTCTCACCTCTGCCTCCCAAAGTGCTGGGATTACAGGCATGAGCCCCATGCCTGGCTAATTTAGGGTCTTTTATAGTGGACTTGGGTATGTTAGTTTGAATAGGATGTGTTTTTTTAGTGTTTCTTATCAGCTAAGTTGCTAGTTGGTTTAGAAGCAAATTGTCAGTCTGTTTTTATGCTTTTTGTATGTATGCAGGCTTTATCTGGAATGCGACATGTATGGCAAAAGGTGGACACAGTCTGGGTGAACATTGGGGGTCTCCGTGCTGCAGTTTATGTTCTGGTACGTACATCTCAAGCTTTTGTTCATCCCTCAGAACAAGATGGAGAAAGAGGAACTTCTTGGTAATGCAAATAATCAAGAGGACTAAAAGTATTTGTACTTCACAACACTGGAAATGTTCACATGAAGAAGTTGCTTTGAGAAAATAACCAAAGTACAGCCTGCACTCTGTAAACCATTCTAAAGCTCTTCACCCTGCTTAGCCAAAGGTGTGAATGTAATATGATGGAATTGAAGAGTTCTTCCTGGAAGCTGTTTTGAAGAGGTATTAGCTGGACAATTAGTATTTTGCTTAAAATGCTTTAAAGATGCCTAGATAAAAGTCTACTAAAATGCTCTGGGATTTGAGTTTAAAAGATTTTATTTTCAGGTTTATAGTCTTTACCATTGTGGCAAGTCCAAAACTACCCTGGCCTAAAGGAAAGTTAAGAGAACATAGTTACATCTTAGGCCACATTTCCTTGCCTATGCATCTTTGCTACTCAAGTTCTTCATCTCAGTGTCAAGAAACGGAAGTATTATTACATTTTGTAAACAATGTTTTCCCCCATGACAAAGTGAACTATCACAGGACCTATAGGAAAGTTTGCCATCTACCTTAAAAATTACAATATGCATCTGTTATTTGGATTCATATATACAACTAAAATAGAGGACTAAGATTTATTCAAGGGATTGTAAAGATACTTAACTCTTAATGCAATGTAGAACATTTCTGTTTGTGAATAGCAAGGTACACTGCTAGATAAGGTATGGGACCAAAAAGCCAAACTAAGCTTCTGTACATAAAGGTGTTTTGCTTTTCAAAAACAAACTTGTCAGAGTATTTTTTTCTTATTAGTTTCTTAAAAGGTCTAGAGACAAAACTGTTGTATCTTTGAATAAAACACTTTTAAATTTGGAATCATGTACTTGGTTTTCTTCTGGATCACTATTCACATTTTGTTGTTTTTCCAGTTGCAGTAATCCCTTCCCAGCTTAGCTTTGTGGAGAATGAAATAACCTCAATATGTTTATTTTAGAGCATTTTTTTGCATTCAGCTTAGATTTTCAGTCATGTTCATAATATGTAACAGTACTACTCATATACTACCTTTTGATATCTCCATTTAAAATAAAAGGACACAGTACTTCCTTCCTTATGAAAGAACAGTTCATATTAACAGTATAACAAATAATCCTAGTCTAGTTTCTCTTTGATCATCTACCCCACAGTTGATAAAGAGTTGGAAATAAGGCATGTATAAAGGTTTTATATCCTAGAGCAGTTTTTTATTCCCATTACCAGAATGCCCAGCTACATTACTTATGGGTAGAACATAAAACATTTTGCCTCTGACAAACAAACAAAAAAACCCACTTAAATCTCTAAGTGAGGGTTGGTCAGCAATCAATGGAAGCAGACCATGTCTGTTTTCACCAAACTGCCTGGCACAGTCCTGCCACAGTGGGCATTCAGTATTTGTTCAACAAATGAATTGATATTTTTGTACATTAGCAGTTTTTAAGAAGATAATCAACCTTGGACAGCTTTGATCCTATTAGACTCTGCAATAAAAACATGACTCAACTGATGCAAATATACAATAGGCAATAGTTTGCCATCTTCCCTAGTGTGGCCTTTTAAATCTGGTGACTGAAATAGGTAATGGGCTATGAGCAGGATTCAGAAAGCCTGGAATTGAGTTACATGTGACAGTGCCATCTATTAAATATGTGACCTTGGTTTTTAACCTTTGAAGTGGGTCTCCTGGTTATGCTTTTTATGGGAATGTGAAAAGATGGAGAAGGGAATCTATAACCTGAACATGAAATGGGAATGAATGTCAATATGTTTGACAGGGAAAAACTGTATAAACATTGAGAAAGACTTTACAAATCTCATGAGGAAGACAGTTATATTCCAAGACTGAGAGTTTATGAGAGTGGCTCAAAGGGGAAACACCTGATTAGGGCTCACGTCTCTACTTCAAGGACCAAAATGTAAGTTGAAGGCTGAAGGGGAAGATTTTGATGTTTGTCAAATACCTAAAAACTTTCATATTCATTAGTGAACTGGGCATAGAAAAAAGGAAGATATTCCCATGATAGCCTTTTCCAGACGTTTGAGAGAGCTTGACACATTACAAAAAAGTTCTGAGGAAACACCATGGTCAGGTCCCTATACCAAATTTTTAAATGTACATTGCACAATATGAAAAAAATGTACCACTGTTTATAATAGCCCTACCCTGTCATCCCTTACACTTTTTTTTTTTTTTTTTTGCCCAAGGGCTAACGTTTGTTAATGAATTGTGAAGTTACAGCTATTTAATGAATGTATGATAGAAAGTCTTCACTAGAAAAGAGAAAGAACAGTATTCTGGTTTCTTTCAATCCCAAATTCTGTATTTCCAATTGCCTACTCTAGTTTGCTTTATACATTCCACTTAAAACTCAAAATGAACATAACTTTCCTTCACTAAATTCTGCTCCTTGTCCTAACATGTCCATTATCTTAGTCATCCAAGTTTAATACCAGGAGTAATTTTTTAAACTCCATCCAATCATTCAACAGGTATTTGAGTGTTAATTATGTGCATTGTGCTAGTGTAGGCATTTCTCAAACTTCGTGGCATCAGGATTCCTTCGTTTTTAAAAATCGAGAGGCCCAAATAGCTTAGCTTACCAATATTTTATATTACAAACTAAAACAAAAAATTAAATATAATGGTCACAAAATCACTTTTAGCATTTTCATGGATATAACTATAATTTTAAGAATTAGAGTGGCACTGTTTTGCAACTCAACTTTGTTAAATGTCATCTGGATTTTTGTTTATCGTCTGCATTCACTTGATTATGTCATTAACCTTCCAGGTTAATTTTTTTTTTGACAGGGTCTTATTTTGTCACCCAGGCTGGAAGGCAGTAGCGTAGCCATGGCTCACTGCAGCCTCAACCTCCTGGGCTCAAGCGATTCTTGTACTTCAGCCTCTCAAGGAGCTGGACTATAGGCGTGCTAGCACATCTGGCTACTGTTTTGTAGAGGCAAGGTCTTGCTATGTGCCTATGCTGGGCTCAAGCAATTTGCTGGACTTGTCCTCCCAAAGTGCGCTGGGATTACATGCATGAGCCATCACACCCGGCTCACAAGGATATTCTTAAGTGAAACATTTTTGTCTTTTGGGGGGTGGGTTTATACTACAATGCAGTGCCATGCATTGAAGGATCACTTCTATGGTTTGATTGTCATACCTTGTTTTGTGCCAAGATGCCTGAAATTGTACCCACTGTTACCATCCCCCTACTAGTACAAATGTAATATTACAAATAGCTATTTAGGATAACTGTGAAATTAAAAATGTTCTTCCACACTTTAACTATTTCAGGACATGTTTTTGTTGCCAAGCTTTCAACATATACGAATTTATTTTATTATGTGATACTGATGCCCACCAAATACTAGTCAAGTACCACATGACAGACATTACAAGGTATAAGTACAACTGGTCTTCTGTATCCTCAGGGTCTGCATCTGCAGATTCAACCAAATGTGGACTGAAAATAATTTGAAAAATGTTAATGCAACAATATTATAAAAACATCCAGTATAAATTTTTAAAAAACCAAAAAATACAGTGTAACAACTATTTACAAATGGTAAATAATCTAAAGATGACTTAAAGTATACGGGCGGATGTGTGTAGTTATATGCAAATATGACACCATTTTATACAAGGGACTTGAGCATCTCTGGGTTTTGGTGTCCTGGGAGTCAGGGGGCAGGGGAGTAATCTCCTAAGGTTGCCAAGGAACAAGTGTACCCTTCTACAGATACAGTATTATATATAATAACTCAGAGTCTATGTCTGTACACAAATCTTTATTGACAAGTTGTTGCTGTATCTTTCAAAAGTGGAACTACTGTGATCGCTTGCTTTTTCGTCCAGCAGAGACACTCTGCAATTCTACTTCTTTTTTTGAGTTGGGGTCTCACTGTGTCCCCCAGGCTGGCTGGAGTGTAGTGCCACTGGCATAATCACAGTTCACTGCAGCCTCGATGTCCTAGGCTCAGGTGATCCTCCTACCTCAGCCTCCTGAGAAGCTGGGACTACAGGTATGTTTAAGTTTTATTTTTTGTAGAGACAAGTTTTCCTATGTTGCCTAGGCTGGTCTCAAGCAGTCCTCCTGCCTCAGCCTCTGAAAGTACGGGATTACAGGCTTGAACCACTGAGCCCAACCTAGCAATGCGACTTAAAAAAAAGTTTATCAACTATTGTGTATGTTTCTTCTGTGAATACATTAACTTATTCTTTAAGATAGTTAGGACCATCATAGCTGGGGGCAGTGACTCACGCCTATAATCCCAGCATTTTGGGAGGCCAAGGCCAGAGGATTGTCTGAGCCCAGGGGTTCAAGACGAACCTGGACAACTTGGCAAGACCTCATTTCTACAATAAATCAAAAAACTAGCCGGGTGTGGTGGCACGCACCTTTGATTCCAGCTACCTAGAAGGCTGAGGCAGAAGGACTGCCCAGCAGATCGAGGCTGTGGTGGCTGTGAGTGTGCCACTGCACTCCAGCATGGGCAAATGAGACTTCAACTCAAAAAAACAAAACAAAACAAAACAAAACCATCATACTTACATTAAAAATATTTGATAACCTTACCCCCCCAAAAAAAAACCACTCTGAATGATTTTTAAATGATGCCACAACATAGCTGGCACCAACACTATTCAAATTATTCTCTTCCTATCTCCAAAAACATAACAACAAAAAACTTTTATTGAAGCCCAGGCACAGTAGCACACACCTAAAGTCCTGTTTCTTTTGTCTTTACAGATAAGGTTTACCTTATTGTGTCTGTGCAATATATGTGTGTGTGTGTGTGTATAAATATATATATAATATGTATTTTTTTAATTTGGAGTCTCACTTTGTTGCCCAGGCTGGAGTGCCATAGCACACTCACAGCCATCCCAGCATCAACCTGTTGAGTTCCGGTGATTATTCCGCCTCAGCCTTCCAAGTAGCTGGAACTACAGGCACACACTACCACACTCGGCTAATTTTTTGATTTATTGTAGAGATGAGGTCTTGCCAAGTTGCCTGGGCTGGTTTCGAACCCGCAGGCTCAAGCAATCCACTCACCTCGGCCTCCCAAAGTGCTGGGATTACAGGCTGAGCCACTGAGCCCTATATATATATATATATATATATATATATATATATATATATATATATATATATATATATATATATAAATAAATAAAAAAGACCAGGGTCTCACTGTGCTAGTGGCTGCTCACAGTTATCATCATAGTGCACTACAGCCTCAAATTCCTGGATTCTAGTCATCCTCCTGCCCTAGCCTCTCAAATAGCTTGGAACTACAGGCAAGCACCACCACACTGGCTACATTTTTTCTTTTACTTTTTGTAAAGATGAGGTCTATTTCCTGAGCTCAAGCAACCCTCCCACCTTGGTCTCCCAAAGTGGTAGAATTAAAGGCATGAAACACTGGCCATGGCCTTTTGGCATTTTTAAAGATAGATGGTATAACTAATAAGTAGAGAAGTAGTATTATCTTTTTAAAGCAAATGATCCATTCTTAAATGATAAGAAAAATATAAATTAATTTTAAAATTTGAGAGTTCTGGGGAAATATTTAAGACATTATATTAATAATACAAGACAAAATGTTAAGTGTGCATAGGCACAAAGAAAACTATACAATTTTAAAATAACAGTTGCAGGTTGGGTACAGTGGTTCACACTTATAATCACAGCACTTTGGGAGACTGAAACAGGAGAACTGCTTAAGTCCAGGATTTCAAGACCAGCCTAGGCAACATAGTGAGGGCTTGCCTCTACAAAATAAATAAAATTAACTAGGTATGGTGGCGCATACTTGTAGTC